CTGGTTTGAAATGTAGATAGAAGAGGTCTATGGATACTACTTATCCATCTTTTGTGGGCGTCGAAAGGGCTGTTGATGTGTGTACAAAATGCCAACAGGTGACATCATTCCTGCCTGTCCATCACAGAAGCTCAAGGGGGAGGAGCAAGGGATAGGGCAGGATAGGTGGAGTTAGAGAGACAGAGAGTTAGAGAGACAGTTGGGGAATGTGAAATGGCAGCTAGGGTTTAGGAGAGAGAAGGAGAGGGTTGGTGAATTGAGCTGAGAGTGTTAGGAGAGGAAATCGAGGTTAAACAATATTGAACAAGCAGGAATGAAATTATAAGCACTATAAGAGAGATATTGATTGAAAGTATACAGCAGTTTGGAATAAAAGTGATTGCCTACATGATCCTGTCGTGGTCTGGCCAAGCTTGCATTTGTTCCCTGAGCTTCTGGAAGCTTTCCTAGAGACTAGCTGCAGCTCACTACAGCTGCAGCTCATCAGAAATTATGTAAATAGGCGTCTCGGTCCTGTATATAAGGAAAAACGCCAGCACAGTTGGTGTGGGTTAGAATGGGAGTGTAGGAGTGTATGTCTGCTGCTATTTTCTTTATTTCGTCTAAAGTAAAGTGCCTCTGAAGAAGACTTGCTTTCCTTGTTGTGCTTCTTTTTGCTGGAACCTCTGCTGAAAAGGCATAACCCTTACATCCAAAACACAACAGATCCAATACATGTTAAGACCTGATACAGTTCATATGTGATTTACCTTTATGATTTACTTGACAATAAAAGACTGTTAGTTAAACCTCTAGTTCCTAAGTTCAATAACCCTTAGTTGTGGCAGCACATGTGCATAACATAATTGGTATTAGGAGAATATCTGGTGGCAGCGTGAAGGAAAAGGGTGTGATACTATGTGAGGGACAAAATAAACAGGGGCCACAAGGTAGATCGCCACAAGTGGTGACCAGCGGTGGGATCAAAAGATAATCCAGTAAGCCAAAGAGATGTGAATGAGAATCCGGTAAGCAAAAGGGATTCCAGTAAAGTGCTCTCAATGTGGAGTACTATACTAGAACCTCTATGCACACCACGTCTGCAAGGATTTAAATAACCAAAAGCTACCAAACACATAATGAAAATAATTTGTAAGGGAGGAGAATTCTTTAAATAGTTTTATGACACATTTGTTTTTGTTTTTTTAGTAGAAAACGTTTAAAAAACACAAGCAAATAAAATCTTGGAAATAAAATTATCCCAGAGTGAGATGAATGTTGAATATCAATTCCATTATACTGCTATAATAAAGAGAGATTAAATTGTCTGTATCTTATGTTTTTGGCCAGGATTTTGAGCAAACTTCTTCCATCTCTTGTTATTATTTAAGAACTAAGCTGCTAAATATTCCTCAGTTCTTATACGTTATTGCCACCTATTGGCAAAGGTTTCAGAATGCAATGATCTAACTGACCACTCTTGAGGATCCTTAATCCTCTGTCAGATAGGAACTTTTCTTTATTATTACTCATATATTCTGTATATTCTATATATTCTATTCTGTTTTATTTTTTAAAATCTTTTCTTTGCCTTAAACAGTCGATCAAAAAACTCCCCATAGTTGAATGCATGGCAGTGGCTTCAGCTGCAGACAGTTTCTCAATTGGCCATTTAGGCGGGGAAGATCTTTTAATTGTTTATATACCTGATGCGCATATCAGCAAATACATTAAAACTTTTTTTTTCACTTCCTTGCCTCATGCCAATTAGGGGAGCTGACTAATTTGCCAATATCCTCAAGTGGCTCACTTAACTAAGTCACTTCACAATATTTCTGTGTGAAATCAGGCTTGATTAGACCATTCTAACCATACCCATATTTTAATGATGTTTTATACTTGTTTGTAAGCCGCCCCGAGTAGACTTTGTCTAGAGGGATGGGGTAGAAATAAATAAATAAACAAATAAATAAGTACACATGCTTAGAACTGGAGGTCTGCATGAAGCAACAGGTGTCAGAGAAACAGGTACCAGAATATTACCTGTGCTCTAGCTGACCCAAGACACTTTGCCACCTGAGTTATACCATCGACTGCTTTACACATTAACAATGACATGTCTCTATAAGAAACAGCTGCCAGATGTAATGTCTTTATGATTCCCCATGCTTTTTTAGTCACGTCTCCAAGACTTGAGTTCGAATTTGGCCTGATGCAGAGAAGAAAACATACGGACAAGCAGAATTTTTAAAAAACTGGGCCTGACATGTTTGAAAGCATTTTGAAATATATAAAATATCACAAACTGTTTTCTTACAATGCAACCAACTAGGGATGGGCACGAACTGCTGGTTTGTGCCAGTTCATTTAGCGGCTGAACAAGTGCTTGGTGCTTTAAAGCTCCACTTTTTCTAGCGGGTACCCACTCAAAGGCAAAGTCCAGAGGAGACAGGGCAGGGAAGCCAGGCTGCTGCCTCGAAGTGTGCACTCACCAGAGGAGACAGGGCTTTGAAGCACTGAACACCTGTTTGGCCACTAAATGAACTGGCAAAAACCACCAAACCAGTGATTTATGCCCATCTCTACAGCCAACTACAAACCTCTCACCTAATTTTAAAAAATATGCCATGCTAGCCATTTAAAGGTACACTAAAAACTTCTTTGGCATGGTTTTTAATAATTTTCATGCTTCTCATCCAACTTTTGCAATTTTTTCTGTATATTTGAGAAGTCCATTGAGAAGGACTTGTATTTGTTAGGTTAAGGTTTAAAAATTCACTTCTTCCTCAGGTCCTGCTTAAAGTAGACCTGATGAGATCAGGAAGTCCGCAAATTTATCCATAACTGACAATTATCTCCTCAAGGAAGAACTTTTTCTAGTGTGGAACCCAGACAATCCATAGCACTTTTTAGGTAAGTCCTCTGGAGATTCATGCCTAAGAAAATTGAGTTGTACAAAACTTTTGTCATATATTTTTAACTCTTGAGAGAGCTTAGATTTGAAGTGTAAAAATTCCAAGAGTACAGAACTGTGAATATGTCAAAAGTAGAAAATTCTACCCATATATATATAATGAAAACATCTAATTGTTTCTTAACTTTAAGTTCTGTAAGTCTTAAGCATATAATTAATAGTAAATAGCACACAACCATTATAGGATAATATTTCTGTTCTTACCTTAGATGGAATATCCGCACAGTCAGCACACAAAATTTTTCTAAGATTCCTTAATTTTGCTTCTCCTCTGTATATCTGAAGGAGCTTGCGTTTATAACACTTTGTCAGTCAAAAACTGATGTGTATCTATTTGCAATCTGCCAATAAGTGTCTATTGATATGTCCTTGTTGACAAAAGTTTTGTGAAATAATTCTAATACATATACATCAAGTTGGCTATAAGCATTTAAGAACATTTTCATTTTTTAATAGCTGCTTTTAAGAAACCTGTTTGTGTTATCCCTGACTTTAATTTTTACATTCTGCCAATTGCCACATAAGAAAAAACACTTTAGTCTAAATAATTGTGCCTAGTTCCAATTTTGAGAAACAAATATTTAGAGCTTATGAGGAATTAAGAAAAAATGTTACAGTATTTTGTGGCCATCTAGTGCAGAACATGGGCACTGCAGTTTAACTCATTATAATAGGGATTTTATGGCCATACCAATCCATGTGGACATATTTCTGAAACAAATCAGGTGTAATAAAGATTCACTTATTCTATGATTTTATTTATGTGTTTTGGCAACAGATATCTAACTGATTTAGTGAGAGATAAATATCCCAAGCCACCGTGAGAATCACTAGTACATCTACATTCTTTCAGGCACATGACAAACCTGTATCAGTGGCAGAAAGCAGTTCGATCATACCATCCAGTAGATATATATTTTAATCTCACACTTAAATTCATTTTCTTCCCTCTGCATACTGGAATACACTCTTCTTTACACCCTGCCTCTTTCTCACGTTTCCCTTGCTATTTTCCTACCTCACCAATTCCAATGCACCTGTTACCTTTGTTCAATCAACTTCTTCTCTTTCCTTATGAATGAGGTCATTTTTTTTGTCCGTGATAAGTTAACATCTGAAGAGTCCGCCTGGTTCTCACTCACAGCACACTAACTCCAATCTCATAGATGCAACACAAAGACCATAACAGTGTATGCTCTGAATTTTAAGAAACACACAGACTGTATATAAATAAACCCCTGTATACTGCTTTGTTTTGGTTTTCTTTTTGTTGTTGTTTAATCGTTAAGTCGTGTCTGACTCTTCGTGACCCCATGGACCAGAGCACGCCAGACCCTCCTGTCTTCCACTGCCTCCCGGACTTTGGTTAAATTCATGTTGGTAGCTTCAGTGACACTGTCCAACCATCTCGTCCTGTCGTCCCCTTCTCCTTTTGCCTTCACATTTTCCCAACATCAGGGTCTTTTCCAAGGAGTCTTCTCTTCTCATGAAATTGCCAAAGTATTGGAGCCTCAGCTTCAGGATCTTTCCAGTGAACACTCAGGGTTGATTTCCTTTAGAATTGATAGGTTTGTTCTCTTTGCAGTCTAGGGGACTCTCAAGAGTCTCCTCCAGCACCACAATTCAAAAGCATCAATTCTTTGGCGGTTAGCCTTCTTTATGGTCCAGCTTTCACTTCCATACATCGCTACTGGAAAAATTATAGCTTTAACTATGTGGACCTTTGTCGGCAAGGTGATTTTTTTGCTTTTCTTAGCCACATAGAAAGGAAAGTTGAAAGGAGCTGTTGAAAGAGGAGTCAGTAAAGTTTTTGAATGGATTCACAACCTTTCTTTCCCTTGGCCAGGTAGATAATCAGTGGGTGAAACAGGGCATAATCAGTGGGTGAAACCAGTACTAATTACAATTAATTTAAATCCAGGGAATCTACTCTAGGTAGTCCTTATTCAATAATATATTGCTGCACCAACAGGTTTATTGTAACTAAAATATGTTTTTTAAAAAGTAAGATATCAAATGAATATTCATTAACAGGAAAATAGTCTGATTTTTATTTTTTCACATTATCAAGTACACATTACAACGTCACACATCCCTATATATAAGTCTATGAATTATCTTTTCATTTTTACAAAGTGTACACAGGGAGGGACATAGAGTATTTAACAAGCATTTTACAGGACAATTACTTATATTACAACCTTGTTTTTATTAAATGTACCGTTTAAAACACGGAACTGAAACATCAATTTTATATCATTTGCTAATTAAATAAAACTAGCTTGTCACTAGTATCAGTACATTTAACAATAACTAGTTTTCATTTGCTTTGCATACAGACACACTGTACAAAATCCACTTGACTAAACTCTTAATTCTCTAGAATTATGCTCCAAAACAATTTTACAATTCCAGATGGTGTTCAGAAAAATAGGAAGTGGGCCACGTTTTTGCATTCTTAATTAGAGTGAATGTATCCCAATATGGGTAATACTTTTCAGTAAGAGAAAGTAAATTTGAGGAAATTGAACAGATTTCAATAGACATGGGAAACAGTATGTATGTATGTATGTATGTATGTATGTATGTATGTATGTATGTATGTATGTATGTATGTATGTATGTATGTATGTATGTATGTATGTATGTATGTATGTATGTATTATTTAAAAATTTGGACAAAACATGAGTGTAAAGCAAGATACCTATATTTCACTGGCTAACTATTGGATCATGAAAACACTTGAACCAGTATCTACAAGGGCTTTTAGAAGTGGACTTTAAGGCCTCAATCATCCAACAGCCATCACAGTCCAACAACTGTACAATGTTCCACACAACTCTACAAGAGCTGCTTCATTAACTATATATGAGGAAATGGTATATGGCCCCATGTGCACAGGAGCTGCTAGATCAAAGTGCTTGACCATCACAAATTTGTTTTTTAAAAAAATTGGTGAACACGCAGCAATCCTTATACATTAAAAGAACAGAAGCAAAAATACATCCCTGTGAATCTTATAGCCTTAGATTTGGATACAGTAAAGATGTTAAACCTAACATTATACTTTCCTGCTTACATATTGCTGGGCAACATCCTCTTGGATAGCGACACTGCCTCACCTGACAGCTCTGCATCTGCATTAAACAAAGCAGTCAATCAACTAAGCAACACTAAGGAATGTCTGGCATAAACATTTTGGCCATAAACAGTGAAATTAAATCTGTGTGATACCAGATTACTGATGAAAGGAAATGAACGGTGAGAATGGGGAAAATATGAAGTAAAATTTGCTCATTTGGTACTTCCTTCTCATTGTCGGTACATCTTGACCAGAGTACTTCTAGGATTAAAGCACAGACAGAGCATGAGGACAAACAAGCAGGCAAATATTCATTTGTAAAGTAAAATCCCTTACAACATGCTCTGGGAATATTACTGAACTTTGTGACTCTACAGAGTATAGGCTTGTTACAAAGCAGGCTGCAGCAGCCTTGTCCCTTAGCAGTAATTTTCAGAGCAGAGGTGCTCAGCGCGAGGCTTTTCCAGAAGTGTATAAACAGGGGGAAAAAACAATAAATTCTAGAAAGTTGCTGCTTAATACAACATTGTTTGAAGAACTACTCCCTTCTCACTTAAGTTATTCTAGTAAGAATACTCCTGTGTTTGTAAAAGAGGAATACAAAATAATGTAAAACAAGTTGTAGCAAAACAATAAAAATGTTTCATAACAACACACCTGTTTCTATTCTTTACTCCTTCAGCTGTTTTCCCTGTAAACTGTGTATATTCTCTAAAAGGTATTCAGGGCTGCTGGTAGATAACAGAAAAAGTGACTGGATCAAAATACTTCATACAGCTGACACTTTGTAATAAAATTGCATTTAATTTTGGGTAAACTTGGCAACAGTCAGTTAAGTAATTTATCCTGTCAACAATTGAAACAATAGGTTTAAAAACACTAGTACATTTGTAATACAGAACCAAAAGTCAGAGAAGCAGATAATTAGTACTTATGAACAAGTGCCTGAAAATTCACACCTATTGAAAAAGAAATGCTCCCAGCAACCAACTTATTTCTTACTTATTATGAAAGAATTAAACATTACATAAAAAGAACCTCAAATAATGAAAAATAGTACTGAATAACTATTCAAATGAATATTGTGTCACAGGTTCTTTAAATACCAATGAGATAATTAAGTGGGTCTTATGGTACAATGTTGTATTTTGACATTAATTTTTCTCAGGTTATTTTCTATGACATCTTTATTAAGAACAAATTAAAAATCTATTTGCAGCCCATGACAAATCCGTGCTCTGACAGTCACTGAGTATGAACCTTGTTAGTAAGGTAAATATTCCAGAGAACTAATATGGTTCAAAAATTCAGTATGAGACAAAGTTTACTTTATTAAATGCAACTTTATTGTTGCCATCCTTCCTCATTTATTAAGCAAATGGAAGAGATTTCAGAACACACTAATGAACAAAAATGTATAAAAGACAACGCTAAGCAATAATCCTATCTGTACACAGCACTAAATCAAATGCACAGTATTTTGTGTGATCCACTTTAAAATACAATGACTGCTCAGAAAGCGTTATATTTTACACCCAAATCCATACTATCTATGGAAGTCCTCATGGCAGACCAATGTCTTTATGATGCCGCATAATGTGTTGGTTCTTCTCTGAAGGTCTCCGGAAACCTTTCTTGCAGAACTCACAACGGTGGGGGTAGTCTTTTGTATGAATGGAAATAACATGCCGCTTGAAACCTGAGGCATCTGTAGTGCTATACTCACAGTACTCACACTGATAAACCTTTCTACCACTGTGTGTTTTCATGTGTTTTTTGAGTTCTATTTGCAGTTTGAACCCTTTCTTACATCGCTTGCATCTGAAAGGAAGATCCTTTGTGTGAACTGAGAGAATATGGCGACTTAGAACAAATGGATCTGCAATCTTAAAGTCACAATGTCTGCACTGGTGTAATTTTTTGCCTTTGTGTACTGCAACATGTTTTTTCAGTTCTGATGGCCTGTGAAAACCTTTATCACACATATCGCACTTATGGGGGTAGTCCTTTGTGTGAACAGAAATGATGTGTCTCTTTAAATCGCTTGAGTTTGAGCTTTTGTGGTCACAGTGCAGACACTGATGTGTTTTGCTTTCTTGGTGCATAAGAATGTGCTGTTGCAGCTCTTTGGTATCAGAAAATATTTGAAAACAAATGTCACACTTGAAGGGCATTTCCTTACTGTGTCTAGTCTTTACATGGGTTTTCAAGTTGGAGGAGTCGGCAGACCTGTACTCACAATATTGGCACTGATACGGCTTTTCACCAGTGTGGATTCGCATATGCTTCTTGAGCTCTGATGGATGCCGAAATCCTTTGCCACATTCCACACAAATATGAGGAAAGTTCTTGCTGTGCACGGCCAGAAGGTGACGATTTAGCAATCCCTGCTCTGCTGTTTCATACTCGCAGAACTTGCATTTGTGCATTTTGCTTGCTGCCTTGTCCCTGTGCACCATCTTATGCGTAAACAAAGCTCCTGCATGAGAGAAACTTTTCCCACACTCATCACATTCTATTAGCTTCTCAGTCTTAGTAATAAGCTTGTGACTCTCTAGATGGTTATGCAAACTTAACTTTTTATTTGTAGTGTAATCACAATCAGTGCACCGATATTTCTTCTTAGCAAGAAGGTGTTCTGGGTGGTTCTTCATGTGCCTTTTTAAGAAGCCCCTGGATTTAAACTTTTTTCCACAAATCATACAAGGGTAGACTGTTAAAGGATGGCCATCAGGCCCAATTATGATTGCTGCAAAATAAAAGCAAAAACCAAATTGTGAAAATGGCACCATTTATACTCAATGGCAATCTGCTAATAGATAGCAACTAACAACAGTGGACAGAGATCCATGGAAATTTTGGGCTTCAAAAGCAAAATTATATTTTCTGTTAAAGTACTCCATTGTTCTAGAAAGAGCTTGCAGCACTTCAGTAACTGGCAGCAATGCCAAGTGTTTAAATTTTTGTTAGACAAATTACACTTGCAGAAAAGAAAATCCTGACATGTCCAAAACCACAGTACCTACATTTTCTTGAAGATATCTTGCTAAATAACACAAATCGTCTATGCAAAATACTACCAGTATAAGAACAAATCCGTTTATGCTCCATTTTGCTTTGTACAACATTCAAATAAGCCAGTAAATTACTGGAAAGGCATTGAAACAAAGATTAAATATCAGTTTTAAATAGAGAACTTGTATCAGTATGCACTGTGCCGCAAAACAAATATGAGAAGCAAGCCTAAATTAGACAACTTGGAGCCTTTGCGAGGCCAAGCTCCACCCAAGTATTCTACTCAGAAAGAAAGTACCCTTGAGCAGGAACCGGAAGCTTGTGCAGAGCTTGGCCTGGCTAACCCCAAAGCCTTCTATGCCTTTCTCCAAGGTCATCATATTGAGGCATTTGCAAGGTGCCTACAAGGTTGGTAGAGCTCCCAGAGTGGAGAATTATGGTATTTGTAGTCCAGAAAATTCAAACACTCCGACCTTAGTGCATAGATATAATGCAGAATTTTATGTGGTGTTTCAGTCACAGAGACTATGGCATCACGCAGCAAAACCAGATTATTAACTTTCCCGTTTCCCCACCCAACTATGCACCAGGTGCAGTGCATAGCTGCTGAAGCTGCCAAGAAGACAGTGCTCATGGCTCCAGTACTAACCACACCTATAACAAGTCTGTGCTGGCCATAAGACCGAACAGACAAATACTGTATAATCTCTTCCGCTGCATGCATCAGAATATTGTGATACAGCAGGAGAACAATGTCTTTTCAATAATTTTCTTTTTTCAGCCTCTTTTTAAATATAACTTGAATCTGTCCATTAAATAATGTAAGGCTTACAAATCACTAAATCCACTGGCATGCCAATGATTGCTTTGTCTGTTATCATCGCAGAATAAAAGCACAGACCGGATTGACTGTATCTTTCTTCAAACATATTTTGGATTGCAGTTGCTTCTGTGCATCTTTCCTTGCACTCTGCTATGCTACAAAACTTGCTTTCTAAACTATTTCAAGAAATTGTTTCAAGTCAATATTGTTCTGAAGTTTTTGCGATCAGCACTGTTCTAGCCATTTTCAAACCTTCAGTATCTCATTGTTATAGATCCTCTAAATTCCTAAATTCACCCATCTCTTGTAACTCAATCTCTATCAATCTAATCTTTGCTAAAATCTCTAAAACTCTGCCAACACACATACCCTTACAGACATAGAGGCACACACATGCACAATGAAAAACAATCCCCCTCCAAACATGGCAATCAAAATAAATTAATCTTATTGATTACCTAAAATTAATAAACTTTGGGGAGGGCAATTTTAATAGCATTTGATAGGATACACATACAAATTAGCTGCTTTTGTTTCCTGAGAGGGTAGCACTGGCTACAGGCATATGGTGTTTTTTCCCCCCCTAAATGAGGTATCTTATTTTCTAGATAATGGCCCAAATCCTTTTTTGTACCATAAACCAAGTCATAAGTTTCTGTCCATACCTCCCTGATAAACAAAGCATCTCTACCACGATTCTCAGGGTCACTCATACTGGCTTGGTGCACTCAACCCCACCCCCTTCAAAATCACAGTGCGAACATTCTGCTTATCAAGGAGGAATGGGCAGAAAGTTGCTACTTGGTTTTTGCTATGAACAAGCCTTCAGCTAATAGGTATGGATGGGAAGTAATTACACAGGTGAGTATGTGTGTGAATATCAGTACAATGGCAACAATCGGTATTCACCAGAATTGCAAGCATCCCTGTCCACTGCTCCTAAAACCAAGATCCCAGCCACCCAAATCTCTGAGATCCTTCCTTTAGTATGTCCATCTGGTCTATGCCAACATAGCTGCTGCTTCTTGTTTTTGGAACTGCATGTGCTAAGACATGACCTGTTAACCCATTAGTGTGCATTCACAGAGACCACGAAGAAGAGTGAGCTGTCCCCTCAAAATCCCAACACAGAGGGTTACAAAACTGTTTATACTCTGTTACTGGCGGTGGCTCAATTGGGGATACAAGAGAAAAAGAGCGGGAAAGGAGAGGAGAAAAAAGGCAGGATAACAACGGTTAAGGAAGAAGCACCAATAAAAGAGGGACATCTCATGATAGAGGTGGAGGAAGAGATAAAAGGGGAGGCAGACTGGGAGACGGGGGTAGAACAGGAGGAGGAGAAAAAAAAAGAAGAGTGAGGAAAAGGAAGAGGATATACCCTTAGGGTGGGGTTGGTTAAAAATGGATGATCCATGGACCAGGGAGAGTCTGAATGAAATTACCCCTTGAGGAGATAAAGAGAAGGCAACACTATTATACTTTGACTCCAACCGAGGCTGAAAGAGGGGGAAAGAGGATACCAAGAAGAAGAGAGGGAATAGCCAAGTAACTCGGAGAAATAGAACCGATAGAACGGACAGTGCATGTGTACCCAAAAGAGGACAATCGTTGGAAGAACGGAGGCAAACTGGTGCCGAGCTCACAACCCAAGACACCTGCAGAAGAAGAATGAGCTTGACGCCCTTGTTGTGGAACCATTTGCCCCAACCTAACGACCCAGAAACTGATGGATCGCGAACGCTTTGGAGTGAACTCCTGATAGTGAAGTCGTTCTTTACGCCCAAGTTCAAGGATAGTTGGACAGAACAAAACATGTTAAATGGACCCATTGGTCCTACTGAAGTGATTTTTCATGGTTCTCCGTTAACAGTTAATAAGACATCTATCCACCTTGACGAGCCATCACCACTTTTTGGGGAAAGGGGAAGATGGAAGGAACCCAAGCTTGAACCCGCTCACAATGGTGCCCAATGTGGGGCAAACAGAGAGACAGATGAAACCCTGAAACAGTGGTTACAACAGAAGTGAGAGACAGTAAAAACTGATGGAAATGATAGCAGAACAACATCAAGTACTAGTGAGTCGAATAACACACCAGACAAGGAACGTGGAGGGAGAAAAAAAATTTAGACCTCACGAAATCCAACCCCAAGGTATGGGTAGGAGGATCCACGCCAATACGAGTACAGAAGACGGGACTCGATGATGACACTGAAGCATATTTCCATACGTTTGAGTGAGTGGCAATAGTGACAGGCTGGCTAAAAGAACACTGGTCACTCATCCTAACACATGTCTCACAGGATTCCTTCAGGAAACTGTTGATACTTTAGCCCCAGAAGAGGCTACTCAATATGATGCTGTCAAGAATGCGATCCTACACACACTCAGTTTAACATACGAAGCCTATCAGAAGCGATTTAGAGAACTAAGGTTGAAGCAAGGACAAAATCCAAGACCGTTGGCACAGAGAATGCAAGCCAATGCCCTGCAGTGGCTTAAGCTGGAGGAAAGAACCAAGGACCAGTTGGTAGATTTGGTGGTTATGGAACAATTACTAATGACCTTGAATCTGGCACCTAAGAGCTGAGTAAATAAACATAGACTTGTCCTTAGAAGGAGTTATATTTCTGACTGAGGATTATGGGAGTGGGGGGAGGGTTCTAGCACAGGACACAAATATAACACAGAGAGGACCAGACCCTGAGAAAAGATGATGAACGCAGCTCGACGTGGCCTAGTCCCAATGCCTGGACAAAAGAACAAGGGTGAGAAGGCGATGGGACCAGTCAACATGAGGGGGCCCCATCCACTGGTGACCGTCGATCGACACATCCTGGATCCACCAGCAGGATGAACTACACGAAACGACAAGAGGGAGATGTGTTTCAGATGCGGCCTAGAGAGACATCAATGACATGAATGCCCAGGAATTGATGTCTCATGGGTCATAACTATGCAGCCTACTCATAGGTCTGCGAGAATGTCTAGTCAGGCTGGAAGGAAGAGGTTAAGGTCAATGGTGAAGCCAAAGGGGCCCTTGTAGATACGGGCTGCAGAAAAATTCTAGTGTGGGAGTTGCAGGGAGAGGTGTTCGAAGACCAGGTCCTGGTTAGGTGTGTCCATGGAGACCTAAAACCCTACCACTTAGCCTGGGCCAATGTCAAAATTTGAGAAAAGATGTATGAAAGTGGGGATAACTCCAGGCCTACGGAGAGACATGTTATTGGGCTGCGACGGGGGGGGGGGGGTTGGGTGTTAAATGACCTGACTTACAACAAGAAAGAAATACACAAAGAGCCCGAGGAAACGGAGACCGAAGGGGAAAGGAAATCTCGAAAGAACAATTAGGGAACTGGCAAAAAGACTGACATAACCCTGGGGTAGGCCCTTCGAACAGCGGTGCCAGAGGGGAAGATGGGAGGCAAACCAGTGCTGAGCTCCCAACCCAAGACGCCTGCAGAAGGAGAACAGACTTAACATCCTTGTTGTGGAACCATTTGCCCCAACCTAAGGAACCCAACCCAGAAACCAACAGATCACAAACGCTTTGGGGTGAACCCCTGATGGTGAAGACATTCTTTACGTCCGAGTTCAATGACAGTTGGACAGAAAGAAACATGTTAAATGGACCCATTGGTCCTACAGAAGTGGTTTTTCAGTCAATAAACAGTTTATGCACCTTGATGAGCCGTTGCCACTTTTTGGGGAAGGAAGGGAGAAGGAACCCTAAGCTTGAACCCACTCACAATAACTCATTCCCATTTATAGAGAGCATACTGGCACATGCAACCTCCCTCTATTATTCTATTTAAGTACATGGAAACCCAACAATAAAATGTTGAGTTGTGAGATACTCTGGGTTCTAGTTAGCAACACTGTCTTACAGGCAACTCCAATCCATTCTTCCTTCCCCTCTTCAATGTCCCTCTCCCTTCAACGGTCAAACAAGTATCCCAAAACCACTGAACAAGCTCAGTCCTCTTCAATCATTTTGCTTCTCCTAGCTTATTTGTTTAAAATGTATATATATTTCTTCATTGTCCAGGATCCCTCAAAATTGCAGATATTACAGATGGTGCTATTCTGATTATATATGGAGAATAAGTTCACTCTTATTCTATATGATAGAAATACACCCTCACACCTAAGCATGTGCTTATATGCATATTTTCATGCCAAAACCCAGGCTTTCAAGTCCATTGTTAACTCCTCTGGTTTAAACTAAGGAGAATCTCTATTATTTAAAATAAACAACATTTTAAAAATTTAAAAAACATAAAACAGTATTTATAATTTGATAATACAACTTAAGTAAAAACAGTAAAACCATTAGAGGATTGAATCAACATGACCATACTTTTTAAATGCATCTACATTCTCCTGAAAAGCAATTATAGCTATCACTATGTCAGTTGAATATTTACCTGTCTGGTATTGTCTGGATTCCAGCCTCCTCCTCTTTTTAGGTTTTTGTTTTGCTAGTCTCCCAAGCCCAGCAGACTCATCTATGTGCAAGAGGGCACTTGCAGTTCCATTTCTGTTTTCAGCTGCATCAGTGTTGTTACCTAATCAGGATTACAAATTGCATAGCATCAGTACTCAACAGCCTAAGAGTTGTAAAAGTTGTAAAAGTTGTTTATCACTATGCAAACAAGTTGTTGTTTGCCTAATTATGTTCTAAACTGTCCAGAGAATGCTCCAACACTATGGGGCAATATATATGATGCAATAGCAACATAAAAAAGTAATAGAAGTTTATCTATCTAAAAGTGATAAGTACATTACATTTGAAAAAATCAAGTGTGAAAGTTAGTATATACCTAATCTATCCTTTTTCATAGCTAACATGGACACATAAGCACAAATTCAGAAAAGAGTTCAAGATTTTAAATGCTACTACACATACTGTGCTATTCATATATAGCTGCTTGCCAAACATATCCGTGATTTACACCATGGACTTCATCACTGCTTCCCAAACCAACAATTCATAGTATCCTGGTGGACAGGCAGATTCATGTGGAAAGCAGAATACATAAATAACTTGACACCAAAAAATATTTTCCATGCAATTTGGATTTCAGGTGACCACCAAATGGCTGTTTATATGTGCAAAATCAGAGCGAGAGACTCTTTCATGCAGAACAGAAGTGGGGAGCTTATAATAATGATGATGGTGATCATCATCATCATCATTACTACTACTACTACTCAGTGTTCTGGCTGAAAATGTTGAAGAAAGTTCAACACAGTCTAAGTTCCAACATTTATTTCTCCATATTCTGCAAAAGTTCTACCATATCTCTTTAAGGTAGCATTACTGTATTTTTCCATCTATAAGACACTACTTTTTCCTAAAAGTACCCTAAAAATTGAGAGGCGTTTTTTACACAGAAGTAAGCTGAGATAGCTGAGAAGATAACAAAACAGCACATACCTTGCCTCTGTAAACAGACTCCCTTCAGTCACAAGGCTCAGTTTCCTACAGTCAGGAGACTTAGTGTCATCCAATCAGGAGCCTTATGGAACTGACATCAGCTGACCCTGAACAAACCAATTGGAACACACCTCCTTGGAGGTGGAGCCTGTAGGCTCAAGATTCAACAGAGACAAAATGTCCGACATTCTGAGCTCAGAGGCTGAATCCTCAAAGCTAAGTTTTCTTAATTTTGGGGTTAGAAAATGGGGGGGGGCATCTTATAAATCGGGATGTGTTATAAATGGAAAAATACAGTATGTACCTGATTTTTTAGAAGAAAAGCCTAACAGGGAAGAAATTAACAGGGAGCCACAATTTCCATCTTCTGTTGTCTTTAATACTGCTAGTTAGCATGTTTACAACATAGGCTAATGATCAGAATAATTTTCACTTTTTTCTGTTCAGCTTCAAACAATACAAATAAAATAGCTACTATAATTTCATCTGAAAAGGTAATATATGTGTGGCCATATATAAATTTTGGCAGTGAACACTGAACATGTTCCTAGAAAATCTATTCTAGGTTTCTCTCCAGTTAGGACATGTTCTGATACGCAATGTTCAAATGGAACCATGTTCTTCTTCTGTGTTACAGTGAAATCCTATAAAATAGTCTCCCCACTCCACAGCAAACAAACTGCTTCAGAAATTATACTACTAGCAAAGTATCTTGCCTTCTGATTGATTTGTAAAAATGTCCTCCTATCAACTGCAGTCTTACAACAGATACTGATAACCTACCGTAAGCTGCAGCCCAGGCTATCGGCATAAAACTTTTGATTTCATTGTCATCAATTTGCTGCTCATGAGCTGCTGCTGCTGCTGCATCTTCTTCTCCTCGTATCACTTCCATATAGACCTCATCAGCAATTTCTGCAACATCTAAGAGAAATAAGCAATAATATGTAATACAATTTTCATATAACTTAAACAACCCACTATCCCTAAATAAAGGCCACATACTTACTTAAATCTTCATCTTCATGCTGAGAATCATTTACTGCCATATAAACCATTTTTTCTCGTGGAATGCGAATGCTACTATTTTGATTAATTAATGTGTCTCCATGGTCATTTTCAGATTCACTTTCCACAATGTCTACTGTGCCTCCTAATTTGAAAAAAAGAAGACAAAGAAGAAATTTCTGTCATATTATGGTTTAAAATTTAACAAACAGAGAAATAATTATCACAAGTATTCGCGAAGGTTTTCATGGCCAGGCTTTTTATTCCTGTCCTCCGAAGATGCCGGCCACAGAGACTGGCAAAACGTTAGGAAGAACAACCTTCAGAACATGGCCAAAGAACCCGAAAAACCCATAACAACCAATTATCACAAGTCTTTAGGACTAAAGAAGTGGTTGGAAAAGATTGAAACAGCAGTGCTACAAATTACAAGAGCCAGTTCAGCAAGCTGAACGAGTGTCAGACCAGGGCTCAGCCGACCATGATTCAAATCCCTACTTAGCACAGAATCTCACTACAGGTACAATACTGAACCCATTCTTTGAAGATCTCACGTGCCTCAGAAACTGTGTTAGGGCTGCCATTAGTAAGAAGCAATTTGACAGCACGTAACAGCAACATGAATGATGCGCGGCACAATTCTATGTAAATGAATTCTAAAGCTCCATCAAATTTAGTAGATATATACAGAACTATGGCTTCAGATAGCAGAGAGCTTTCCTCCACTCTGTGAAGATTGAGATTATGGGGCAGCACTTTATCTGCCACTACCTAAAACTGCCTACTAGCAAGTTATGCTATCACAGATACAATGCTCTGTTTCTACTTTGAGAAAGGGGAGTGAGGTGAGTATCTCACAGCTCTCAGGGTAGGTTTAGTTTTAGGATCTAAAGGTAATAATATGTATATTGATGTGTTTTTGTTGTTTGTTTTTATTTTCAGACTGCCTTACCTATATCATCTTCTCCAGGACCAGCTTTAAAAATATAGACTTTGATGACTTCTGGACAAATGCCATCCATTTTATCAGAATCACCTTCTGGTTCAGATTTATTATCTACTGAATTGTCAGTTTCTGTCTTGACTGCATTATCCACTGGAAACAAAAATAATAAAATGATCACTCTAACATAAACAGATAAAATAGAAATGCATTGCTTGAATTTTTAAAGCACTAGAAATTAAATCTAGTAAAAATAAACAATGAAAAACTCTTTATAGAAAGATTTATTCTGGTTAAATAAAAACTTGCAAGAGGGGGAATAATGAAACAAGGCAATTTTAAAAATCTAAATGTGTTCCTGCACTGGTTCACTGAATTAAAAAACACTCCTCTTAATTATTTTCCCATCTTGATGAAATGAAAGAAATATTGGCCAGTACCCTACTGAACATTCATGCTGCCCTGTCATTGCATAAATCATAATGGTGAACTGCCAATCATATAACTTGACAAGTGGCAGCTCATTACATATTGACAGTTTGCTGCTCTGATTTAAGCAATTACACTTAAAATGGCATAAAACCGATACAGGATTCAGGCCATTAAATACGTAATTAATCCAGGTAATGGCTGAACATTCATATTACAACTAAACACTAGTTCTTTGTTGTTTGTTTATCACCAGTGTAGAGATTCAGAGTATTTTGGTCTGGACAGTGCCACTGAATTCATCAGAACAAAAGGTGCATCAACAAATTCCCTTTGTCCAAGTACTATAAACTGATCAAGTTGGTGATGATTATGTATAATGTTAAACCTGGAAATAAGAGGACATGGCTAATTCAAATGCACAGCAAAAAAACAGAGTCCGGCTATGATACTTACAGTTGCTGCCTAAATCACATTTAACTGTATCTGCCTGCTGCTTACCCCCAAAAACTGAAAAACAAACCCAATGGCACTAATCTTGTTAAGAGTGATCTACACATGCTTAATCAGTTTGTCCTCCTTGACATGTCACAATATAGTACCAAGAGAAAGGAAGAAGAAAGGTCTGTTGGAGAGGCCCTTCTCACGGTCCCAACACATTCAGAGGCCGTTTGCTGGGGACCTTCTCCGTGGCTGTACCCAGGCTGTAGAAAAGTTTGTCAAGAGAGATCAGGTCTTCCTCCTCCCCACTATTCTTCCAGCAGCCTGAAAATAGCTTTTTATTCAGGCAGGCCTTTGGAAATTAAGTGCGTTAAAGTATAAAATTTTACCCAAGGCTATGGTTCTTTTAAATGTTAAATTTTAAATCAAATATCTCAAAATTTTAATATTTTAATAAACTTGTTTTAACATTTGAATTATGTTGTATTTTAATTTTCTATTTATTTTTTTGAGCAATTTGTAAACTGCCTTGAGTCCTAGTTCTGGGGGGAAAGGCAGCATCTAACAAACAAACAGATAAACAACAACTAAGTGCTGGTTAGCTCAGTGGTTGAGGTAGCTGACTGTAGAGCCAGAGATTGGGAGTTTCATTGCCCTATGTGCAGAGGCTGAACTTATTAGTCCAGGGGGTTCCTTCCAGATCGGAAGTTTTAGTATTATTATAATTATTCAAAAATATTAAAAAATACCAGACACAGTCAAATCAAAATTATAAAAACAATGACTAGCATTATATAACAGGTACAAGTTTTAACCAAAAACCTAAGTAGCTGTTATATATCAGTGCAGTATTATGCTGTTCCTAATACTGCCAGTTTTTGTAGCTCTGATGGTGTTATTTCTGAGATCTGAACTACTTACAATATTATGTCAAAGTTCTTGTTATTGTTCCCAAAGCCCCAATGACTACAGGGACCACTGAAGTGTTTCATCCACAAATGAGATGTTTCAATCACCAAGTCTCTGTACTTTGTTAGTTTTTTCAATTCTTTGTTTTCAACTGTGGCATCCCTGGAATTGCAATGTCAATCATACAGACTACTATGTCTGGTGTGTTATGTTCAAGGTGTCTGTACAAGATCCTGACTTCCTCATTTTCTATCACCTTCTCTGCCTGATGTTCCTATGGGTTTTGGGAGGCTGGCAAGTTATATTTTTTCCATAATGACCAGTGCACTAATTTTACCACTTTATCATGTCAAATTTTGTAATCTGTTTGTGCAGTTTTTGGACATTCGCAGATGAGGTAGGATACAGTTTCATCTTTTTCTTGGCAGAGCCGACATTTGCTGTTAGCACTAATTCCTTGGATCTTAGCTTTAATCACATTGGTTTGGAGCACTTGTTCTTGTGCAGCAAAAATAAAGCTTTTGGTTTCTTTCTTAATGGTCTCCAATTTTAGCCATGCCCATGTTGAATTATTATCATGCTTTCCATCAATCTTTCTCAAGTGTTTTCCATGTAGTGGTTTATTTTTCCAGCTGTTTATTTTCAAATTGTTGTTACTTATATTAATCCTTTGTTTCTGTTGTTTTCAAAAATATTCTCCATTTTCACCGCCTTAAGTAGTTTTTCTCTACCTGTACTGATATAATAATTTAGGCTTCTTTTTCCTCTTCTACTGCCTGCTATATTTGTAGTAATCCATGGCCTCCAATTTTTTGTGGTAAATATAATCTGTTCATGATGCATGTTCACTAGTTTCTGAGTATTTCGATCCTTTGATAATGATGGGCTGGCCAGAGACTCATCTTCTAGACTTGGAAATAAATAAGGTAGTTGCAGTACAATTATCAGTAAGCATCTTGTGAAAGTAGCATGAATGAATCACTGCCAACAAGTCTGGTCACATTGAAGGATAAGAGAAAATCCTGAAGTCAGTCAGCCTAATTCTGCTTCACTTTTAGATAAAACTGGTATGCAACTCGTGATGTGCCACTAACTCTGAAGTGGTGTTCTCTATGAAGTAATTTCATACAGTCTGACGATCTTAATTCCATTCTTTTAAATCACTCCTTGCTTTTCCCTAATAGGTTACATAAATTAAATCTGAACTGGCTTTACAAATAAAAATAAACAGCCTGCGGCATTATCACACATAAAGAATTATGTGGAATATGTAATGTGGACATTTGAATTCAAGAAGTATGTTTTAATATTTCTATATAAAGTAGTTAAATGCTAGATGAAACTTCATCAAATTAGGCATCAATCTCACAGTTTAAAAACTGGTAGAACCTGTTTAGAAAGCTTAAAGAAACAAATGAAGTAACAGGAAAACTTTCATTTAGCATAAATTCTAGTATAGGCATTCACTTGTAATTATGATGGGTGTGGATGTACATTTTGTTTCCAGAGGGGGGTAAATTCATTTTTAATCTAGAAAATAATTTATATATGAGAGGAAATGGCTGCATAACATCAGATCCCATCCTATGTTCCTATGCATATAGACAGCAATGTTAATGAAGGAGAGGCAAAGTGATATAGACTGTTGGAATAGGACTCAGGACAATGGGGCTCAAATCCCCCCTTCGACATGAAAACTCACTAGGATGGGTGTAGCACACCTTGAACATCTCGCATACCTCAAAGACCCCACTAGAGTTGCCATAGGTGGAAGTAACTTGACAACACATAATAACATTAACATACAAAATTGCTCGTGGGAATATAACGAAGGTGAATTCCTGCCCATCACAAGCTGCTAGTCCGCTTCAATCACATTTTTCAAGATGTCATTTTGTGCATTACTGCTATGCTGTAATTGGCAGTGTTACTGCAAACACAACAGTCCCAAAGCACAGTATCTCATAACAGTCACAATGACCCACTATGAACCCTTTCCTGATGATATAGGGACCTACGGGCATAATAATGAGAAATCGATCACAGCTTTCTTCATATTCCTTGTTAATCAGTAGCATAGATGACAATTAATTTTAACAGATGCACAAAAATACAGTGGTGCCTCGCACAACGAGCGCCCCGTAGAGTGATGAATTCGCTCTACGAGGACGCTCTTTCGATCGCTAATGCGATCGCACAGCGATGGCCCCAATAGGCGAAAATCGCAGAACGAAGGTCGGTAAGCTGCTCGCTTACCGACCTTCGCTTTGCGACCCGCCGATCAGCTGTTCCGCGGCTTCAAAATGGC